TCGCATTCTATGACAATGTGGAAGTCAGAACAACGTTGTAGAGTTGGTTCTCTCCTTCCACCTTTATGTGGGTTCCAGAGGTCAAACTCCAGTTTCCAACCTTGTGCAGCGGGTGCTTTTTTTTTTTTGAAACAGGATCTCACTATGCACACTGGGCTGTCCTGGAACTCAGACTGCCTTTGAACTCATGGAGATACCTCTCCCTTTATAGTGCTGGGATTAAAGTCATGTGACTATAAATTTTTACTAGTCTTCTGCCTTAGGAACATGCACATTTCTTTGAGTATTCAGAGTCTCCTTATGTCCTTTTGACTACATTTTGTAGATTCCTGTGAAGGGATTTGTGAATTTTTGATTATATTTATTGATGGTATTTGATATTTTTGTGGTCTTATTGCAAAAAAAAAAATCTTTAAGTGGGTGCCTACCACATGCAAAGCCTTGGGTTTGATCCACAGTAATACAGAAAAGAAAAAAAAAGTCTGTTTTGTGTTGGCCTATAGAAGCACAACATATGTTTTTACGTTTTTGAATAATGATCTTGGTGGGCTTTTTTTTTTTTTTTTTTTTTTTTAGATATCATTTCTTTGTGTGTCCCTGGCTGTCCTAGAACTTGCTTTGTAGCCCAGGTTGGCCTCAAACTCAGAGATCCGCCTTCCTGTGCCTCCCCAATGCTGGGACTAAAGGTGTGTGCCACCATACCTGGCTGCTAAGCCTACTTATTAATTTTGATTTGTAGATTGCCCTGATTTTCTATGCAAGCGATTGTATTCTCTGAGAATAAGGAGTTTTGGGTTCTCCACTAGTAATTCTCATCATGTGTCTCTTTCTCTACAGTTCCTGCCAAGACCTCCTGTGCAATAATTGAGGAGAAGTGGTAATAACAGTCTTTGTTGAGCTCCCAGAGTGAAAGCAGACAAGATTTCTATTTTGCCAGGAAGTATAATTTTATTGTGGGTTTCTGTAACTCCACTTAACAGTTTAAGTTCCTGTCTACCACTGATTTGCGTAGTGCATTATGAAAGGGTTTTATTTATTTTTGTTTTCTGTATGTGAGCGCTTCATCTGCATGTGTTTCTACGCACCACATACATGCCTGGTTCTTACAGAGGCCAGAAGAGGTTGTCAGATTCCCAAGAATTGGAGTTAGGAACAGTGTGAGCTGCTATGTGGGTGCTGGGAATTGAACCTGGGTCCTCTGGGAGAGCAGCCAGTGCTCTTAATTCCTGAGCTATCTCTCCAGCCCCCACTAACACGTTTTTAAAAAATCATAAGTGGGCATTGAATTTCACCAAATATGTGTTTTGTGCCTATTAAAATGACTATGTTTTCGCGTTTGTTCTGTTAATGTTTTGGGTTATACTGACAAATGCTTACTGTTAAACTAATTATATATTTCTGGAATAAATCCATATGATTAGGATATGCTGCTATCTTTCCCAATATTGCTGGACTTGGTTGAATAATATTTTGTGCAGGCTTTTTGTACTTGTTTTTATTGGCCTATATTTTGTATTTTTATAATGTCCTTGTCAGATTTAATTAGAAGATTATGCTTACTCATGAGTGGTTGGATAGATTCCTTCTTTTTCTGTTCTTTGGAAAAGTTCTTGTAAACTCATATTATTTTCATCTTAAATGGTTGGTAGAATTCTCTGATGAAGCCATCTGGACACTTGGACTAAGACACTATTTTCCTTAATGTGAAAGTTTCAAATTACAGAGTCATTTCTTTAATAGTTATAAACTTTTCTTATATTTTCTTTTTTTGAGACAGGGTTTCTCTGTGTAGCGTTGTGCCTTTCCTGAGACTCACTCTGTAGCCCAGGCCGGCCTCGAACTCACAGAGACCCGTCTGCCTTTTCTCATATTTTCTTAAGACAATTTTGTTATATTCCTTCCTAGGAATTCTTCTGTTTTACTCACCTGTTTAAACTTGCTGATGTATGATTATGTGTTCTATGCATTCTCTGTGTCTCCACCCCGTTCTCTTTCGTCTGTAGGCTCTGTAGTGTCAGCCCCCCGTGACTCCTGGTGTCTATAGCTTGTGCTTCTTTTTGCTGTTGTTTTTTTGAGACAGGCTCTCTCTGTGTAGCCCTGGCTGTTCTGGAACTCGCTCTATAGACAAGGCTGGCCTTGAACTCACAGAAATCTGTTTGCCCCCGCCTCTCAAGTGCTGAGATTAAAGGCATGTGCCATCACACCCAGCTTTATTAATATTTTAAAGACTATATAACATATATTAATTTTCCATTTTATATTCTTCTTTATTATTTAATTTCTCCTAATTTGGGTTAATTTTTATTTTAGAAATTCTTTATAAATTAAAGAATTATTTTCATTTATGTATATGTGTGTGACTGATTATATGTAGACCATGTGTACACAGGTGTCCATGGAAGCCCACCTGTGGAAGCCCGGAAACCGCAGAACTGGAGTGATAGGTAGTGTTGTGAGCTACCCAGAGTGGGATCCAAACCCTGTCCTCTGCAAGAACAGCAAATGCTCTTAATCACTCTAGCTTCTCTTGAGGCGAGTACATAACTTACATATTTACAGCTTCTTTCCCTCCTCCTCTCCATTCCCCATCCCTTCCTTCCTTCTCTCTCCCATTGCTCATTGCCTCTGAGTTTCACCATGGTAAGTTTTGATGTATTACATTGTCATTGTTATTCTAGTCAAAATATGTTCCAAAATTTTCAAACATATGTTTTCTGCTTACCTCAATGTTAATGACATCTAGCTGAAATGCATTGTGTTAGGAGACTATTTGAAGCTGGTTGTGCATGCCTATAATCTCAGTGGGAGTTAGAGGCAGGAGGATCAGGAGTTCAAGGCCAGTCTTGGCTATATAGTGGGTTCAAGGACAGTCTGAGACATATAAGACCCTATTTTTTTTTTTCCGAGACAAGGTTTCTCTGCATAGTTATGGTGCCTGTCCTGGATCTCGCTCTGTAGACCAGGCTGGTCTTGAAGTCACAGAGATCCTCCTGGCTCTGCCTCCCGAGTGTTGGGATTAAAGGTGTGTGCCACCTCCACCTAGCCTATAAGACTGTATTTTAAAGAAATTCTCCAAAATTAAAAAAAAAACTTTTATTTTTGTTTATGTGTATGTTTGTGTGCCTGATTTTGTATGTGAACCATGCGTATGCAAGTATATAAGAGAGGAAAAGCCAGAGGGAGAGTGAGAACCAGAGAATATTTGAGACTTTGTTTACAGCTCAAAATATGCTCTACTGTGGTATGTGATCTAAGTGTTTTTTGTATGCCAGTAGTTCAAAGTTAGCTGATCAGTTTTGAGTTTCTATAACCTGACATCAATCTTTCTCTCCTCTTTTCCCCTCCCCTTCCCTCTCTCTTTCTTTTAAAAATGATTAATTTTTAAAAATTTCATATGTATGAGTGTTTGCTTGCCTTCACCTATGTCTGTGCCCCATGTGTGTGCCTAGTGCCAAGGAGGCCAGAAGAGGGTATCTGAGCCTCTGCAACAGGAGTTACAGATGGTTGTAAACCCCCCCCCCCATGTGGGTGCTGGGGATTGAGCTCAGGTCCCCTGTAAAAGCAGCCAGTGCTCTTAACAGCTGAGCTCTCTCTCCAGCCCCCTCTCTTCATCTTCTCTTTTGTGAGGTGAGATCAGTTTATATGCAGACTGGGTTCAATCCCACAATCTTCTTGCCTTAATCTTTCAAGTGCTGGGATTACAAGCCCGCACCACCATGAATGGTTAGTCTGCTTGTCTTTTAGAGCTGAGAAGGGTATGGAAAAACCATTTACTGTGACTAGAATTGGACAGTTCTTACTCTGAGTCTACCATGATTCATTAGTTATAAATACGATTTTCTTTTTCTTTTTTCTTTTCTTTCTTTCTTTCTTTCTTTCTTTCTTTCTTTCTTTCTTTCTTTCTTTCTTTCTTTCTTTCTTTCTTTCTTTTTTTTTTTTGAGACAGGATTTTTCTATATAGCCTTGGCTGTCCTAGAGCTCACTCTGTAGAACAGGCTGGCCTTGAACTCACAGAGATCCAACTGCCTCTGCCTCCCAAGTGCTGGAATTAAAGGCATGCACCACCACAGCCTGGCTCAATTTTCTTTTTTAAAAATTTTATTTATTTATGTGCTTTTTTAGGTATGCATGCTCTGTGTGCATGTATGCCAGAGAGGGCTTCAGATCCTATTATAGATGGTTGTGAGTCCCCATGTGGTTGCTGGGAATTGAACTCATAACCTCTGGAAGAACAGCCAGTGCTCTTAATTGCTGAGCCATTTCTCCAGCCCCCACAATTTTCAATTATAGTATTTCCCTATTGAAGTTATCGGCTATCTTTATGAAATACATTTCTTCATGAATTTGGGGGAACACTTCATGTTTTTAATATTAATACTACATTTTTAATAAAACACTTGTTTTCTAGGCAAGCTTTTTCACTTTAAAAAACATTATTTATTTTATGTTTATGAGCATTTTGCCTGCATGTATCTACGTGTGCAACATGTATGCCTGGTGCCTATGGAGGTCAGAGGGAGGTGTCAGATCTCCTGGGACCGGAGTTACACAATTGTGAATTGCCATATGGGTGCCAGGAATTGAGCCTGATTCCTCCGCAAGAGCAGCAAACGCTCTTAACCATTGAGCCATGTCTCTAGCCCCATCATGTTTTTGTTTTTAATTCTTCTACATCCTTCTATTTACATTTCTTATTAACAGGTGAGGTGATTTAAATAAGAATGGCCCCTATAGGCTCATATATTTGAATGCTCGGTCATCAGGCAGTGGCACTGCTTGAGAGGGATTAGTAGGTGTCGGCCGACTGGAGTAGATGTGGCCTTAGTGGAGGAAGTGTGTCATTGGGGGTGAGATTTGAAGTTTCAAATGCCCAAGTCAGTCCCAGTGTCTCTCTCTTCCTGCTGCCTGTGGATCCAGATGTAGAACTCTCAGCTCCTTCTCCAGTACCAGGGTTGTCTGCACACCACCGTGCTTCCTGCCATGATGATAACGGACTAAACCTCTGAAACTGTAAGCTAGCCTCAAGCAAATGCTTTCCTTTACAAGAGTTGCCTTGGTCATGGTGTCTCTTCACAGCAATAGAACACCGAGTAAGACAACAGGGTGTGTAGATATTGATGAAGATGTAAGTACAACTCTTCACGACCAATTCTGTGCTTCAGCTGCAGCATTTTCTCCATCTATATTAAATATGAATTCTAATTATGAATATATTTGCTCTGATGCTTAACAGTCCCGGTGCCACCCCTGACCAGCTCTGGGACTCAAGTCCAGTGGCTTCCACTGAACACTGGGGGTGGGGGGCTAGAATATACTCTGGAAAAGCATGGGTCACTTAGTCCATTTCCCCACTCAAGTTGACATTGTCCTCTGTAGATGTCCCCAGATGTCACAGTGGGTAGCTCCCAGACCAGGCTTGAGAAAGACCAGACAGGACAATGCATCCTTGTCCCAGCCGACTACAGGAACGTACTGTCTCCCCCTGAGACCTATGTCTCAGTTGATTCTTTTTGCCACAGGGACATTCTCTGGCAGCTAGCCCACAGTGCCTGCAAGTTGGGGTTAGAGTCATTCTCTGACTCTGTGGCTCTTTTGGGTATCTCCCTGGCCTTCTGGTGAGAAATTCACGGCTAGGTGGCCTTGGGCTCCCTCTGGGTGATGTGTATTTGTGTGAACTCTGACACATCATCTGTTTTCGGGAGAAGCTGGACTGACTCCAGGGTGGGCTATTTCCTCCATGGTGTCCCCAGGTAAAACCTTGGCCTTTATCAGCACCTACCTCCAGCGCCTTGCTTTCTAGAACTGGGCTGTCCACATGGTGTCCACACAGTCCCTCAGCCTCTCCCAGGAGAGGGCATTAGTTAGTGTCCAGGTGCCCAGCTTCATGTCAGATCCTAGAAACTTCTGTGGAGTCTTACTGCCCTCTCCCTCTCCTCTCATTCCGTGAATCTGTGTGTATGTGGACGTCCCTCCCATGCAGGGCAGGAGATGCTGTGTCTAAGGACATGTAGGGTGAGTGGCTTGTTAGCCAGTGCCGCAGTGGGTTCAGCAGGCCTAGAGGCTTAGGTGTCATTATGAGACCAGGCACCCTGAGCATGTCCGAGGCCTAGGTCTCAAAAAATACTCATGGTCTTGATTCTGCTTCCAGGGTGATCATTATGCCAAGACATACCCATAGTCCTGTGGTTACCCCCAGTATCTCAGGTAGGTTTTGAAGGCTTACTCTGAATGCCTGAGCCAAGGTGTGGTCCTTTGCTCATTCCTCTCTATCGTCTCCTTCTTCTTCTCTTTCTCCTTTTCCTCCTCCTCCTCATTCTTCTTCTTCCTCTTTTTTTCTATACAGAAGCTTTTTATTTCCCATCTCCTGTTTTTTTGATGCCATGTGCCAGATGGTTTTTATAGGGGTAAGTGACACACATGAACTGAATGTGGGAAACTGTTCAATGTGATGGGTTTGATGTGTGGCTGCACCACCATAAAAAGGGATGGGTTTGTTCCCAGATTCCCAGTGTCTTTGCAGCCTAGATCAGCCCTCTTTATATTCCCTCCTCCCAGTTCTACCGGAGGAGTGGGATTCTGTGGGGAACATGAGTGGGATTGGAGGGTTATGGAGTGCAAGCGGAATGGATGTGAGATGGTGGGCATCAGTGAGACCAGAAGACAGGGCGAGTTTGAATACCTGTCTTCGCTGGTTTCACCTGCCCCCAAGAGGGCTTTTCTCGTTAGCCTCATCTTCTGCAGCCCATGTCTCCTCCCAGCTCAGGGGAGCTGCTGAGGCTACCTGCGGTCATGTACCACCAAATGACTCAAGTCACCAAGACACTCGACACAGAACCCGATTTCCATCAACCTTGCTGGAGGAAATTTGACTTGGTTAAGTTTGAGCCTTCCCACTTCTAATCCTGGTGACCAGCATAGAGGGTACATTCTGACGACTCTGGGCTCCTGCTCTGGGGCCTCACTTTCTCCTCACACTGAGTGTTCAGAGCCGGATTGCTGCTTTCCATCACTGTGGTAGTCCTGACCGCCATCTTTCCTCCCAGGCTGTGAGAAAGTGACACTGGGTAGATTTTGAACAAGACCATCTGATGCAGGTGACTGGCCTTGCATGATTGAATCACCCAAACTGTAATGATATCATGTCCTTGTCTAGAAGCCCTCTCCCTCATCTGCCTCCCACCCTGGGTCACCTACCTGAAATAGCCTCTGTCCCGGGTCCCCTCCCAAGACATCGTCCATGATGATGCAGATGATGACGATTTAGAGACTCCAGGCTCAGCTCCCCAAAGCCCTGGCTGGACTCCCTCTTTCCCACAATACGAAGACCACACGGTATTTACCTATCCAGTAGTTCCTAGGGGCTTCCCGAGTGCACTAGTGGAGAACCTCACCATTCCAGGGTACAGAGAGGTGAACGCTGATGGTAACACTCATCCTTCCACATGCAGGCCATGTCCCCTTGTCCTGCTGGCATCCTCTCTGAACACTTCCCCACAACAACCCACTAGACTGCCTCTTTCTGGGAGTCTTGGTACACAGGGCTATGTGTTTGGGCCAGGGCCAGGAATCCTCTCTACACCAAGTCACGGGCATGAGGCCTCCTCCCGTTCTCCCTGGTGAGTCAGCTCTTTTCACTCTCCTTCTCCCAGGCAGGTGGATCTGGACTAAGGACAGGCCAAGGACGTCGACTGTCAGGGAAGGGCCTGCCTTCTGGGTGTCTTGCTGCTGTGTTCTTGCGGTGGTTTGGATAGGTCTGCCTTAAACTCCATGTGTCAAGGCTTATTTCCCAAGATGTGCTGTTGGGGGGCTGCTATGCCCCTTTAGGAGGGGTCCTTGTGGGATGAGAAGGCTTTAAGTCCTTGGACAGGCTTTTAAGAGGGATTGTGGGTCTCTGGTCCTTCTTCCTGGTGTGATTTATACTGTTGGCTCTTCCACGTGTTCCCCAACATGTCTATTGCTGCTGTGTGGTACCCCCACCAAGGACCCAAATCCACGGTCTCCTGGTCTTCCTGCAAAGAAACCCAGTGCTCAGGGCTATGAATACACTAATTATTTGTGGGTGCATACGAACACCAGTATGTCTATATGTGGGCATTGCAGTATGTATGCATGTGTGGTGGTGTGCAGGCACGTGCACATGCATGTATGTGGTGAGCAGGTGTGTGGATGCACATGTCTGTGGTGTGCATGGTGTAACTGTAAATGTGTATAAGCATGTGTGTTTACCATATGAGGTGTACATCCATGTGTATGAATATGTGGTGTGTATGGTGTGTGTGTGTGTGTGTGTGTGTGTGTGTGTTTGTGTGTATGTGTGCGTATGTATATGCATATGAACCACCAATTGGGAAGAGAAAGAGGAAAGGTGGACAGCCTCATAGGTTGGCATCTCTGGACACATGGGCTCTCACCTCTGTGAGGACCTCCCCTAGGGCAAGACATTTGCTTTTACAAAAGGCTCATTGTTGACATCTATTCTTTGAGGTGGGGCTTTGTACCCAAATGTTCATGAAAACAACAAAAAAAGGAAAAGAAGCTTCCATCTGTGATGACCATCACACCCCAGTTAGCCCCTCCTTGTGGGACAGAGAACTTGATTACTACATGCTCACATTGGAACAGAATCCAGTCTGACAGTGGCTGACTTTCAAAGCCAGGTCTCCATCAAAAAGTGTTTGGGCATCTTTTCAAAAGCATAGGCTCAGAGAGACTGTAGCCAGCTCTCTGAAGACCACAGCCACTGGCTGCTTCCTCTCCCCACAGCTCCACAGCAGACCCATTCTTAGCACCCAAGACGACCCCAGGCTATCAGGCCAGGGCCATGTCCCATATGGGTGCAGGTGGTGAGCAGGCAATGGTGCCAGGTGGTCCCCAGTGAAGATGCAGGTGTGAGGTAACACAAGGACAGCAGGGGACAGGAAACTGCCCAGTGTGAGCATAAAACCTAACACACATATACCAAAGGCAGGAACACCAGCTGGAGTCTCTGCGGAGATCCCCCAGCTTCCCTCCCAGCAGCAAGGGAAGGTGCGATAAACAGAAAGCAGGTGACAAGCTTGGGGAGAGTTACCTCCAGCCTTGGAACCAGTGGAGGTGTCTGTGACCCGGTGTTCTCCTGATGGGTCTTTCACAATAAAAGAGAGCATGGCTGAGGGCCGTGAACCACTTCTAAACCACTTGGTCACTTGATGACCCTCCCAGCCCATTAACCTCACACAGCAGAGTGCCACTCTCTGCTCTGATGAAGCTCCTCCAGGGACATATGGTGGCACTGGTGAGGGAGTTGCGTTCCCAACCTGGCTACACTGTAGTTTCGTTTTTCCAGGGTCCTGTTCGGATGTTCCCTGTCCCATCAGTGCCAAATGGCAGGCCTTCTCGCACATCACCCTGGAGCAGCCCATTCTGGCTGGGACCCCCAAAAGGCAGGGACTGTGTCCTCCGTAACATCTCCAAGTGGGCAGGGCCTGGGGACAGCCGTGGAGGACAGCCATAGAGCCCGGGGCTCGTGTCTCCACCCTCAGGCTGGCTGACCATGGGGAAGGGATCGACCTGGGCACAGCAGGCCAATGTATGCACCCCCACTGGGCCCTCAAGAGAGCTGGGAGGGCTGTCTGTGCGCGAGCTGTGGGGGCTGCCATCCAGGCTGGAGGGGATGTGGTAGGCGTACTCCCTCTCAGCCGCGGCTGCCTGGTGCCGGCTGAAGTAGTGGGGCTTAGTTCTGCCCTTGAGGCACCTGTGCAGATGAGGGTCGTGCAGGTGGTGATCGTGCGGGAAGGGGTCCTCGTCAGCCATGTGCATGTGGGCCTCCTCCTCCATTAGTTGCTCACAGTGCATCTTGGCGCAGCAAGGGGTGGCAGGGGACAGACAGCTGACATGGCCCTGGGCAGCCTGCAGGTTGGTCATCTTGCAGTGGCTGGCTGGTGGATGGCCAAAGCCCCTGAGTTTTCCAGGGCATGGTGAGTCCTGCAGGCAGGCTGTATGACCCAGTGCATCCCCATTGGCATCGAGCGTCGGGTGGGCACTGGGCTTGGTGGCGGAGGTATCTCCCCGAGAGGGGCAGCATGACCACCAGCACTGCCACACATCCTCCCGCTTGGCGCAGTGGTGGATAAGTACAAAGAGTCCCAGCGTCACACAGAAGGCGCCGTACAGACAGCTGAAGATCATGTCCAGGAAGTGGCCCTGAGACACGGCCAGGGCCCCAAACGTCCATGTGGCTGTGAACAGGAACAATGTGAAGGCGGCAGCACGCAGCTGGGCCTTGAAGGAATGCTCGTTCTGCAGCTGTGAGGCAGCCAGGGCGTCACAGGTGGGTGGTGTGCCGGGACGCATCCCATGGCGATGGCCGCTCTCTGGCACTGCCAGCCGCTGCTGCTCCTCAGTGCGCTCTCTGAGCTCATACCTGCGCTCTGGGTGACGCCGCAGTTGCACATAGGTGCAGAGGAAGTATACACAGGTGACCAGGGCAATGAAGGCAGCTGGCCCATAGAATGCACCCAAGCTGGGTTCCCAGGCCATCCAGCAGCTGCAGGGAGAAGCAGGTAAGTGTGGGTATGTGGTTGGAGTACTTGTGGGGGAGCCCGCCCATCAGGACTGAATGGGGTTTCCTACAAGGGAGTATTTAATTGTGATAAGGAAACAGATGGTACCAGAGACTGGTCAGCCATGAGCTTTGGGTTAATGGGGACAGAACTGCAGTCTAGATGAGTGTTTGGAGCCAGCTGGTTGTTTAACTCTGTGTGCTAGCTCTCAGGAGATGGATGCGGGTGAGATAGAGGCAGGTGGTGGATGGGGCAAGGAGGTCCACTGTGGGAGGCAGGAAATTGTCCTGGGTGAGGAGGAAGTGGGCGGAGGCAGGTTCTGATGGGCAGGGCATGGGGCTCACTATGGCTTGAGTGAGGGCTGGACATGCTGGGGTCTTGAGGAGATACTGAGAATGATGAGGGTCCCACCAGGGCGTTGGGCACTTGTGGGGGGTGAGGCTAGGTCTGTCTCTGCTCCAGGGGTATGCCATGCTTGGCTGACCTTCTGTTATCTGGTGCCAAACAATAAAAAAAAAAAAAAAAAAAGGTCCGGCCTTCAGGGTCTAAGGAAATAGAGTCAGTGGGAAGCTGAGGGTGTTGGGAGAAGGGCTTCTGCGCACACAGAGGTCAGGGAGACACAACAGAGTGGTCCTCTGGGGCCCAAGGTGGTGAGTTCACCTCAAGGGCTTGCCTTACCACAGGTACTTTGGAGGACAGTCATAACAAAGGTTGATTATGACAAATGTCTGTGGGGCACCTTCTCTGCCCTCCCCAGGCCTGGGCACAAAGTCAGCGAATTCCTGAAGTGTCTGGGATGACCCCAGGAGGAGCTGGGCAGTGTCCCCAACTTTTCACTGGCTCACAGGTAGCAAGTACTCACTATGCTATGTCTTCATCCTCGGTCCCATAATTTCTGATGTTTGTGGCAGCTGTGACCCCACAGATGATAAAAGGGACCCCTCCGCTGATGAGGTAGAACCTGCCAGAGATCAGAAGGCTGACTTGCCAGGAATAGCCCAGATCCTCCCAGAGAAATGAGGCCATCCTCCCCCTTCCCTGATGCAAAAAGGAGGTGGCTGGATTCCATGGCCATGCCACCCTTTAGTATAGACAAACACATGTCCAGTGGGGGATCCTGCTCTCCTCCTGCTTGCTTCTGGCTGGCAGGGGCTCACAGTGAATCTTCAGACTCAGTGGGACCTCATGGAACCCGGGCTGGGCGCAGGGTAGCTATGAAGAGGTACAGGCAGTGCATCCATAGGGCAAGGAGGTTCTGGAGGGTGTTGAGTGGGGCATCCTTATCCCAAAGTGCCATCTTGAGTGGTTGCCCAGTTGGATTCCCTTCAGACCTGTCTTTAGCCAGAACCCAGCTCATACCCCTTCCCTTCCTGTTTGCAGTGCTCAGCGATCAGTGAGCCAGTGTATTGTTAGACCTAGTTTTAGGGTGAGGAGCCTGGCTCACCTAGCCCTCTGTGGCAGTTGGGAGAGATGCTCTCCTTTGAGTTATCCCTGGAGGGACAGCTGATCACCCTGGCAGGAGTAGGCTGTGGCATGGGCCGACCTCCCCTCCATGGACCTCAGTTGATAGATAGCTTCATTGGGGGTGATTCAGTGTGCAGCCCACTGGATAGTTCCTATTTGAGTCCAACCCCATTGAGCACGTGTGTCCTAGGCTTAGCCTGTGTACACACTGATTCTGATGTACTTCGCCTGACTGATAGCTTCCCACTGTGATGAGCCATGGTGGGGCCACCTCAAGGCCAGCTCAGAGGATTTCCATGGGAAAGTGGCTGCCATTACAGACGCCTTGAGTGGACAGTGTGGCACAAGTTTGAGGCCAGCCTGGGCTGCCTAGCAGGTAAGCTCCAGGCAAGTTAGTGCTAGGCGCCATCCCTTATCTGAAAACAAAGAAAATGAAGCAGGTGCAGCAGAGATGCCCTTTCATAAAAGAATAACAACAGTTTATGTACTTGGGTGAACGACACTTGAAGGAAGGTCACATGACCTCCTTCAGGGTAGCGGGATGCCACACTGAAGGAAGCTGGTCCCCAGGAAAGAAGAATACAAGGAATGCTAAGATTAGAGTAACTAGGGGCTGGAGAGATGGCTCAGTGGTTAAGAGCATGGGCTGCTTTTCCAGAGGTCCTGAGTTCAATACCAGCAACCACGTCGTGGCTCACAACCATCTATAGTAGAATCTGCTGCCCTCTTCTGGTATGCAGACATACATGGAGATAGAGCACTCATACCAAGGGGGGAAAAAAAAGATTAGGGTAACTTCTTCAAAATACAGATGAGTACTAAAACAGAGAAGTTTGACATTTTGTGAATTCATGAATAACACGGGGTGGGGGTGGGGGTGATACATGTGGCATTTGTGCCATAAAAGATGAGGTGGAGCGGTCTTGAGTTCCAAGACATCTCCGGATGTTTTATGTGACGTCGTACAACTTTATTTTACATGGATTGTGAATAGATTGGTCATGTTAATCTCTGGGGAGGCTGTAAGACACTAAGAGAAAGAAGCTAATTAATATATTAAGTTTGAAATAAAAATATCATAACAACACAAAAGCAGGAAGAAAAGGAGGAATGAAAGAAGAGAAACCACATGGAAACAGTATCACAAAAGAGGCAGAAAAGAGAAAAAAAAAAAACGGAGACAGTCCAAACGAGTGAAAAATGAGTTACATGTTAACAGTCTCAATATTCTCCTTCACGGCAGAGGTTGCCAGACTAGAGAAAAAAGAAAGACCCGGTGGGGGCTAGCATTGAGTAGAAGAGATGGGGGTGGGGCTGAAAGTGGACCTATGGGGGGGAGTCAGCCTCTTCCTGTAAGCCAGCAGTTCTCAACCTGTGGGTCATGACCCATTTGGGACCGAATGACCCTTTCACAGGGGTTGTGTATCAGATATTTACATTATTATTCTTAACAGTAGCAAAATTACGGTTATGAAGTAGCAACAAAAGTAAGTTTATGGCTGGTGGGGGTGGGGTGGGGTGGGGGAGTCACCACAACATGAGGGAGTGTAGGAAAAGGTCGTGGTATTAGGAAGGTTGAGAACCACTGCTGTATGCCAAGGAAGGCTGCCGGGCGGGGCCAGCAGCAGAAGGGAAAACAGGCTGGGGCAAGACAGAAGTAACTCAGGCTCGGATAAGACATGACATTTGCATCTGCCAGGGAGGCAGCCCAACTACCAAGCAGAGACCAAAGGAGGTTCAAAATACCAGAACAAATGTTGTCAGGCATAGAGGAGAAGCAGCAATTCCCAAATTATAGTGGGCATTAAAGTTCCCTCTCTCAGCAAGAGATAAACAACTAACCAAAAACCAGCGAGGAGTTTAGAGGCAATGGGCACAGTTTCTGAAGAAGTTGACCTCAAGGCTCCTTGTAACACATCTCACCCTACAGCGTCACCAGTGTACTCCAGCTCCAGTGATGGTAGCTTGTTCACCATGACATCAGTGACATTTACACATTATTCTCCAGAATGTGTGGCTTGTTCACCCAAATGAGAGTAGCACCCACACATCTTCATTCAGTTCATGTGGCCCACGCACCATGGCAACCATAACATTCATGCATCTTGTTCCAGTGTGTGTTTTCACCATGTTAACCATGACATCTTCACATTCTCTTCTGCTGTGTGTGACCTGTCACCCATGGTATCTCTGCATCCTCCTCCAGAGCCTGTGGCATGTTCACCACAAAAACTGGCATCTACAGTAAGCACCCACTTTCCTCCACTGTGTATGTACTGATCACCATGACAACAGTAGCATCCCGTTCCGTTGTATGTGGTCTATTCACCATGTTAACAATGGCATTCATATTCCCTCCTTCACTGTATATGTGGCCTGTTCACCATGGCAACCGTGGTATCTATACATCCCTCTCCACTGTGTGTGGCTTGTTCACCATGACAACATTGGTACCCTATAGGTACTCTTTCAGTGCATATGGCATATTCACCATGACAACAATGACATTTTTCAGTGTGTTTGGGCTTTTCACTAGGTATATGCCGTGAAAGACTCAAACATTCAGAAGATTTGAGATCTTGCAAAGCATATTCTAGAACCACAAATAATTTAGATGAAAAATTGATATCATTATTATAACCAAGATACCACAAACACTGTGGACTTAACGATACACTTATAAATCATTCATGGAACAGGGAAGAAATCATAAAGGATCGGGAAGCACCTTAAACAATACTAAAGAAAATATGACATACAGAAATTTCTTGGCTACAGATACAGCAGGGCTGAACGGTAAATTTATAGTTTCTAATCTTCCATTAGAAAGAAGAGAAAGATCTGAAATTTAGTGATCTAAAATTCTACCCCAACAAGGTAGAAAAACAAAAGCTCATGGTAGACCCAAGGTCGTCACATGATGAAGATGGCAAAGACCAGAGAAAAATGTTGGAAACCTGCCCCCCACAGCAAAAATCAGTGAAGCTACAAACTTAGACTAAGCAAAGAGAGAAGAAGGGCTGATGAGATGTTCAGTGCACAAAGGACCTTGCCTTGCAAACTCAAGTTTGATCCTAGAACCCGAATAAAGGTGGACAGAGAGAACCAATTCCTCTAAGTTATCCTCTGACCTCCACGCACATGCCATGGCTTGTCTGCCTCCCCCCCCCCACACATCGTGGACACACAATAATGATAATAAAGTAATTAAAAAGATTGTTTGGGAAGATTCATTCTCAATCTTAAGAAACAGTTATTGTTATGCACCCTGTAGACACAGGCAGAGGCAGGCAGATCTCTGTGAGTTTGAGGCCAGCCTGGACTACAGAGTGAGTTCCAGGAAAGGCGCAAAGCTACACAGAGAAACCCTGTC